ATTTTTTCTTTCTTTCTTTTTCTTTTTGAAGAGTGAATGTCAAAAATATGATTGGATAACAAGTACAAACAGAATAGATAATCAGTCCAAACAGGTTGCATAATCACTAGGAGCACAACGGATAACCATTTTTCAAAGAAAAACGAAAAACGCATTTCTTCATTTCTGCTCGTAAAATTTAAATGCATTTAAAGTTCAAAAAAAATATTCAACATGAATCTTATCGGATAGATTTCGTCGAACACTATAAATTTCATGTATAATTCGCATTCTAATTCTTTACGGATCAAGAGATATATGCAATACAAGAATCTTAATCTAAACTAAACTGGTTATTCATCTTTCTAAACTAGATATCCATCTTATTCTGCCCATCAAAATTTAGTCATTTTTAAACTCCAAAAAAATATTCGACATGGATCTTGTTGGATAGATCTCGATGAGTACAATAAAATTCATGTGTAACACGTTTTCTAATTTTTTACGGATTGAGAGATATGATCGTTTAAATATTAGAAATGTTGTTTAAAGGAGAGAGAAAAAAAACCGAAGGGACTAAACCTGTAACTTATAGGATATTATTTAGAAAAGTGGAAAAAAGTGTAATAAGGACTAGTAGTGTAAAAAATGGGAGGGGAGTATGGTGCCCCCGGATATATTGGATAGAGACTCCTAAAACCAGTCGTATGCCAAGATATATAGCACATATTTTTCTTCTTATTTCTTTTTTTTTTTCGAAATTTGCTACCTAACGGAGGGAAATCATCAAAGTCAACCGCCCACCAAAATCAGCTCCCCCCAGAAGAAGGCTACACCAAAATCCCGCTGAAACACAAATGATATAAAACCCGAAAGCACACCAATATGATTATACAAGTAGGGGCGACGTTTAAACCTGCTCCCATATAGTGATTAAAATTTTGGAGATCCCTATAGCAAAGTTATAAGAATTACCGAACTATATTTACTTCGTTTAACTAGTACTAACATTATTACTAATTAGATTTACTATCAAATTGCATTCCTTCTCTCCAAAAAATAAAAATTAAAAATAGTTTACACTGTAATTTGTAAATTATAAAAAAACTGTAATGTTGACTATTTTTAATGGAACAAAAAAAGTAAAAAATTTAAATCGAACTATCATTGAAAGAGACTAATTTCTTGTCTCCAAACTAAGGTCCACTCATTTGTGACATTATAATTCGCTGTAGACTACTGGCAAGTAAATTCAAGTCGGACTTTTATCCATTATCTCTATATCTATAAGCTAACATAAAAGTCACTTGGCCAATTAGTTTCTTGTAATCTGATTGGTCAGGCGGTTGACTCGTGACATAAGTCTCGCATCATGATTACACCATATTTTTAGTAATGGGCAAAACAGTCATTATCTAAATAATTTCTTACATATTTTTAATTATTTTTAATATGATTGGTTGGATTGCATCACCCTTACAACACACTTACGTCACAACTTTTAATTAAGGGCATGGCAGTAATTACATTTTTTGATTTTTTAATTTTTTCAAACACCCCCTTTCCCAAAACGATGTTGCATTGGCACAAAATGACGTCGTTTCAAGACTTTTTTTATAAAACCTGCCAAATCATACACGCGGGTCAAACTTTTGGGTCAACCGGGTTATAAGGATGACCCGCATGTGCCCCTTTTCTCCCTTTTTCATTTTTCTTTTTTTTATTAATATTTTTTTCCTTAAATTTTTATTTTGGGTTGCTTTACCTTTTCTCAATTCTTTTTTTTTTTTTGGTAAAATTGTAAATTTGTATTGCGTATAACCACTTCACATATTTACACTCCTACTGCTTCTATTATAATTCAAAACTCAACAAACTATTCAAAGACTTCGCAAAAAATTTAGGCCTACTGATCTGCCTTTTTTGTAACAGAGCTGCACCTTCCAAATTCCTTCTTTATTTATCTTGGTAACTCTGTCTTTTGCCTCCATACTCACATTTATGAATTTCCTCGCATTCCTTTCCTCCCATATATTGTGTACAACCGCTACTATAACAGCATACAAGATTCTCATCCTCAATTCCTAGTGCCCCGAAATCTTCATAATTCTCCCAACACTACTTCTCAATTTCAGGATCTTCACATTAACCTTCATCCTAGCCAGCATCAAGTTTAACACTTCTTGTGCATACTGACACTGAAAAAACAGATGGTTAGTGTCTTCAATTAACTTTGTACACATCTCACATTTTAAGTTGTCAGTCAACAGGTTTCAGCTTTGCAATCTGCTCTGAGTAAGCAATCTGTCTCTTAAGGCCATCCAACAGACAAAACAGTGCTTTGGTATGTTATAAGGGCTCCAAACTATCTTTGCATTCTGCAATTTCTGCTGTTCACCCACCATCCAGTCATATCCCTTCCTGGCAGTATATTTTTTACTACTAGAATCATTCTAGATACCATCAGTTACTCCCAACCTCAGCTTTTCTTTCACAGCCAATAACTTCTTCCAGTGACATCCACTATCTTGCGGTGGACTACACTCCCAAATCGATTTCCCTTTCAGATAGTAGCAATGAACCCATCAATCCAGAAACTTTCTTTTTTCCTAGCAATGAACCCATCAATCGATTTCCCAAGTGTACCTTTCACATTTGCTTCGACTGATGTAATCTTTATTCCCTGCTAATGTTTCCATACTGTAATTATTACTTTCTATCTTCTCTATAATCATCAACAATGAATTCTATTGAAATAATAATAAACAGAACACATGTGCACTACATAGCAAACAAACTACACCAGATTATTTATAGGGTACATATCTAATTATTTGCTTTCAATTCTGATCACAATTTGGTTATTAATTGTCTTCTGCTCCTCAAAAATAGATGATAATTAATAGTTGAAACTTTATTTTAGTGGTAAAATATGATACCAGTTATGCATGATGCAAGTCATATTTTATTTCAAACTGTGATACTTTCTTAGTTTCAGTCGATTATGAGTTTTGATCGAATAAAGTGAGTGTAAATATGATGGGTGTATTAGATCATCTATCCACATGATAAGGAGTCTTTCTGCAAAGAGCATAATGAGGATGTTACTAAAATCTCAGTGATACATCAAATATTTTCATCATTATTTCTTGGTCGACAAGGTTGAAGGAGTTTGTACAAGAAAGGTGATGGCAAATTCACTATTAAAGTAATATTGATTTTATTCCATAGGTGTAATTTTATAAATTAATATTATAATGTAATGTTAGTTACATTCTCATTTTTTTTCATCGTATTTCAGTTATTATTTGACATTCATCACATTCCAATAACCAACTTATTTAAAAAAGAAAAATTAGTACACCGGAATGTGTTCTCTATAATCATCAACAATGAATTTTTACAAAATAATAATAATCAAAACCCATGTAGCATACTAAGGACTACAGATTATATATAGAGTGCGTCGCGCATCGCGTGATGAATGCTAAAGTACTAATTATAACTAAAAGGTTTAATCCCCAATTATTATTAACACCAAATCCAAATTTCACATTGCTATACAGTATTAGTTAGACTATTACGGGTTTGATTTATACGTAACAACATCAACAATGGTGGTAAATAATAAGTAAATAACCATCTTATCATAATATTTATTATTATGTTGAATATTTTTATAATGGTGCATAAATTCTCACACTGTATAATACACATACTGTTTTGAAGTTAATATATAGTTAATATTGGTTCATGATCATATCCTAACTATTTTATTTTATTATACTTTTGCAGTGTAAACTAATGTAATGAAAAATTGACTAAAAGTATAAAGTCGCAATAATATAAACTATTGAAGTTGAATAAAAGTGTTAGATTTTATTCAATATTAAAAAATTATGACATTATAATCACAGTAGTATAAATTATTGATATTGAATAAAAGGGTTGGGTTTTATTTAATCATGATTGCGTTTTTGTCTTTTAGTTCTCCGGCATGTGGTCCCAATTTTATGAGATGACCCCAAAGAGCCAAAGAGGCATCTTTTAGTTCTCTCACCAAGAAAATAAAATGATAATTGCTTTCATATGTGTCCTTTCATAGTTTTTTGAAGTTGCACTTATTGATGTTGCACTTATTGATGTTTTAGAGGTAACTAGACTATTACAATAGAAGTAATTTTTTTTAAAAAAAAAAAAAACCAAGGAGGTCAAAGTTTATATCATACTCCCTCCGATCCTTATTATAAGACATTTTGATTTCGCCATAAATTTCACTCAGTAAGTATTTTTAATTGACGAAAAAACTTTAAAAATATATTTTCACATTCGTTGTATTCTCTTGGTTGTTATGAAATGTTTTTAAAGTTTTTTTTTGTCAATTTAAAATACGTACTAGATTAAACCTAGGATAAATCAAAATGTCTTATATTAAGGACCGAAAGGAGTATCAGATTAAAATTATTTTCGAGTATATCTAGTAGTTGCATCTCAGTTTCACAATCCAATTCATGCGCAAAAACTCTTTAATGGCTCAAATAATCTCTTCACAATCTCTCAATTTTTCCGATCTTGCAATAACCATAATAGCGCAATGACTACTTCATGATTTTTTTTCGTAATTCTATTTACATACGGCATGCCCGATGTTTAGATTAATATTACATTTCGGAGATATTGGTACTACAAACCCCAAGTGGATTATTAAAAGAAATTAAATGCTGGAAAGTCAAATCAAAACATGTTGGGAAGGGTAGTTAGGAGATTAGGATGGGGATAATTATATTATTAAAAAGTTGAGGCTTATCCAATTTGTTATTTTTTAAAAAAAAAAAAACGTCAAATCAAAAGGTGGTCAATGTATTATTACCAATTTACTAGTTACTATGTAGTATCTGACAGCAATATCCTTAATTTATTTAATCGCTCAACTAGTATTAGTTTTGATGAATCATTGGCTAATGCACTCGTCTGATAACTATAAGAACTTCAACTTGGCGATCAGATTGAAAACTGCAACCAGAAAACCTTAGTTCTTCTTACTCAGAAGCCATAGTATCATTACACAGTACTCTCTCTGACACACACACACACAAAAATGGAATTATCACATTCATCTTTCCTCCTATTATTATCGTTGATAATTCCAGCACTGGTTGCCTTGGTTTTCAAGCTTACGATGACAAAGAAAATGGGCTCTGATCTCAAAAAACAAAGGGTTCTGCCGGGGACAACCGGATGGCCGATCCTCGGAGAAACCCTAGACTATTACTGGAAGCTAGGTAGCGGAAACCTTGAGAAGTTTGTTGCGGATCGGGTGGCAAAGTATTCGTCAAAAGTATTCAAGACCTCGTTATTGGGAGATCCTATGGTGGTGTTATGTTCTCCTGAAGGCAACAAATTCCTGTTCGCAAATGAACTAAAACATGTCAAGTTTTGGTGGCCAGGCACATTGAACAAAATCTTCCCAAAGACCGATAAAAAACCCAGCCATGATCACTCCAACAAGCTTCGCAACTTGCTTCAGGTGATTTTCAAATCCGATGTTCTAAGAACGTATGTTGGAACAATTGATAGGCTAACAAAAAGGCATTTGGAGTCACATTGGGACTCAAAACAAGAAGTAGTTGTTGGCCATATGGTAACCAAGTTGTTATTCACATTGGCTTGCAACATATTCTATGGTATTGATGATCCACAGAAGATTGAAATGTTTGCTAAAGGGATGAAAAATATTGAGTCTGGTGTCATTAGGTTACCGTTTGATTTCCCCGGCACAGCGTTTCGTCGCGCCATTAAATCATCCAAGGCTCTTCTCAAAGAGGTTGAGGCCATAATGGAGCAACGGAAGATTGAGCTTTCGGATTCCGGGCGGCGGCCCTTGTTGAAGGATTTCATGTCTTATTTGATGATGGAAAGAGATGAAAATGGAGAACCCTTTAAGGATGAAGATATTTCCAGCCATCTGCTTGGTTTATTGCTAGCAAGTTCTACGTCTATGCATAGTACCATGACTAACGTGATCAAGTGTCTCTCGGAATTCCCTGATGTGTACGCTTCTGTTCTTGAAGGTGAGCTTTTCTTTTCAATTAAAAATCTCTACCGTATAAAATGTCTACGTCTAGGGTTTTATTTTACTTTTCTTTCTTACTTTTTTTTCCTTTTTTTTTTTATGAGAGATGAGGAATGCTAATTTAGATGGAAGATGCATATATTTTGAGTTATTTTATATCTTGGCAAGGATTAAAATGTTTAACTAGTAATTACTGTTTAATTAGCGGGGAAAAGTCATTAGTATATAAACATACACTCCCTGGTCGTCACGAGATATCTGTCCAATTCAACGAAAATGACAACTTAATATTTTAGAACGGAGCAGGACTAATTTAATTTTTCCTTTGATCGTTGTTGTTTCTTTCTTATTTATTTATTGAATACACCAAAAACATACAGAGCAAAATGACATTTTAGCTGGAAAAGGACAAGATGAGTTACTCTGTTGGGAAGATTTAAGGAAGATGAAGTATAGTTGGAATGTGGTGTCCGAAGTTTTGAGAATATTTACTCCAAATACTGGAAGCTTTAGGGAGGCTATTACAGATTTCAATTTCCAAGGATACACAATCCCAAAAGGTTCAAAGGTAAAAATTACACGTTAATTAATATCGTATTTTTTTTAGAGATATTTTCATCCATGTTTTTCTCTTTAGATCATTAATTTTACAACTTCAATACATACCATTAAACGATTTATACTATTTCTTTGGCAAGTTACCGGTATCATCTCTCCCATATTCTAAGGCAATGACTCTTTAATGAAACGTAAAAGAAGAATGGATTTTAAAAGTAAACAAGAATAAAACGCTTATGAAAACTGTCACTGCTGACTATGATTTTGTGTAAGTTCATTTTTGCAGATTGATATTTTGGATACTAACTTTAAATCTATATTAACAGATTCATTGGATGTCCTATGCGACCCATAAAGATCCAAATTATTTTCCTGAACCTAAGAAGTTTGATCCATCAAGATTTCAAGAGAACCGTTTTATTGCTCCTTTTACATTTGTTCCATTTGGAGGAGGACCTCGAATGTGCCCCGGGATAGAGTACGCGAGATTGGTAATACTGGTGTTCATGCACAACGTGGTTACTAAGTTCAGATGGGAAAAGAAGATTGCCCATGAGGAAATGGTTTATTATCCAGCCCCTAAGCCGGTGAACGAACTCCCGGTTCTCCTTCGTCCTCGCCATTAATTTTGAAATAATCCGAAAAATGATCACAATGAAAAATAAATGGGAACATCAGAAAAAGGACCCACTGCATATTTCAAAATTTGTAATTGTGTAACTATATATACTTTGGATCACGAACTTTTATTTTCCCTTCAAATGTGTCGGATTTATGTATTGAATATGAAGGGCTAATATCGAAAGTACACTAGCCCAATGCCATAATACAAAACTTCCTATGTTTCTTTTATCTCTTAAAATTTATCAGGTTTTAAACTTATTTTTAACATAATTTATACTTTAAAAAAAAAAAAAGAAAATTCAAATTATCAGATTCTTGGTCCATGAAATGAAATGGGGACCCACCTATAACATCTCCCCGCCCCCCTCCCCCGTCCCTCCTTTTAGGTGATTTCACTGAATTGGCTTAAATCTCGCTGATAATAAGAGTTTACCAACTGTGTGACATTCCGCATATATTGGTATTTTTCAAAAGGTTAAAAGTGTCAAATGTCAATTACACTAGACTAAGTTCAAAAATAATTATCTAAAAAAACTCAAAACAGTAGCGGAAGTATTTTATAAATATAATAATGTCTTTTGTTGCACTCTATATGTCCAAACTTAGTAAATAAATGTTACATGTCTTTCCTAGCAAAACCATTAATGCAAATAAATGTTGCACTCCTTGAACCCTTTTTCAACGAACTATGATCTAATCTACGAGTGTAGGAAATGTTCATAATGAAGCCAATGTCCTTCAAAACCTTAACAAGGAAATCGTACGCACTTTTTTCTTTTAAACAAAATGCAAAATGTTTACCAGATTTCGGCTGTGGGGTACGCATCAAAACCGGAATCCTCATTTCTTCCGACCAAAATAATCCAGTACACGCACGGGAGACATGAATCTGGTTAGCCCAGTTCCGAGCACGAGACATGAGTTCCCGCAATCCAGTTTGAATCCGTCTTCATGATAATCATATATTTACCAATCATATCCACCGTTTCTTGATAATCATAATCATCAATCATTTCACCTATAATGCTCGGATCCCAACTTTGGTGGTGGGCTTTACCAATTTTAAACTGTAATCTTTGAATCTCTATAAACCTTTTGTAAGATCATTGGCGATGGCATGGAGAAAATCGAAAAGGCCTATTTATGAATGAAACCGGAAAACAGAGCACTTCCTAAAGTTGTAGTATCATAACCAGTAATTCAAATTATGATCTTAAATGTAACAACAAATAACTGTTGCCCACTTGGTTTAGAAATGTTAGAAAGCAGTCTCATTCAACTAAACCGAATCGAATATCTCACTAAATTAAGGAGCTTTTGATATTACGCTTTATACTCGCTATAAGCATTTCTATACCAAATTGTGCTCATCAATGTGTTTTTCTTCATCTGCATTTGCGTCCCTTCAGATCTTATTTTTACCCCGTCCTTTCCCCTTCAGATCCAAACATATTAAAAATCAAATGCGGTAAAAAGCTGTAAAGTTACAAATCATGGAACTGTACAACAAAATTTGTGGGATTTGAAATAACAAAAATCAAACATTAACTACACAAAATTGAAATACATCTTTATATTAACTTACTAATGTACAGTCCCGTAGTTATGATGTTATATCGATCCTAACTGATTTTCATTTTAGAAGCCAGAAAGATCAAATCAATAACAGTATATACAGATCAAAGACGTAATATGAATATGGACTTTGCTGCTCTATCTGGCCTTCCTTAGTATCTCTGAAAATGAAAGGGAAGTCAAATTCAGATCGGGAATTAAAAAAATAAAAATAAAAATAAAAATAAAAAGAGCTGGATAGAAACAGCTACGACACAGAATCATTGAAATCAGACTTTATGAACAGCAGAAGCAAAAGGAAATGAGCTTCTTCTATACAGTCCGCTGCCTCGGACTGCACTCAAAAGTGTAAAACTAATGTGTTCACAAATACACCAATCACCAGTTATCTAAATGCCTCGACCCTTACTAATCCATTGACAATTTGGGCATTTATTAATAATTACACTTTCTTAGTTGTATAAATACAAGGTAAGGCTGCATACGTACGACCCCCAGACCCAACTTGGTTGGGAATATATCGCGTAAGTTGATGTTAATTAATTATACGCGGGTTTTAACCCAGCAGACTTGGAAACATATAAGTATTTATCTAGTACCAACAAGTCATATGAGTAGATCAATACGAGGTCTGTTTGGTACATCCTTGGTACAAGGTATCCACATGTAATGTGAGTAACAAACAGGTGTTTGTTTCTATCCCCCAACATTTATGTTCCGATTTGTACTGGCTTTTCAGATAGTCCATCAGACTAATTAATTATCAGATGTTCAGCTCCATAAACTCAAATGCACAATTGGAAGGCTGATAGTGGTTGATTATAAGAAGGAGAAGTAGCACCAGAAAGAGATCATGAAGAGCAGTACAGCAATACTCACATGGGATAATGCAGAACTTGAGATCCACAAAATTGACTTATATCACATTTCAAAGGTAGAAACTTCAAACAGCAACAGCTTCAGGCTTTTTACTGGTTTTGATTCCCTTTATAGCTGCAAGACAAACACAGTTGTATAAGAACAGTGGTAAATTCAATGTCTCAAAAAACTTCAGTACTAACACAATTCTGTCTTTACCTGCTGCATAATCTGGAGCACCAAAGACAGCAGAACCAGCAACTAATGCATTGGCTCCAGCCTCAATAACCTGGCAATAGACAAGAACAGTTAAATCTATACGGTGCAGTAATTCACATGCCCAACTACCTCATGTGATACTACTGAAACCAGAACCCTTCATGCAAGAGCCAATATATAATGCAGCTATTTCACATTGTTGACATGGCATCTATAAAGTTAGATTAGGAACATAAAAATTGAGGCTTACAAAAAACTCATGCATCAAAAGGTAAAAGGGACAAAAATAAATAGCAACACAGAGATTTGGCTGGTGTTCCACCAAAACCTAAAAATATACACAAAACAATCTTACAAGCATAGATAAACAAAATATTAAGTTGTCCACTTGTCTAGCTTCATAACATTTTGTAACGTAAAGAACAAAGTACACAATATAAACAATGGGAATCCTAAGCATATCAAAAGACTTTCCATTTTAATATCTCACCTTGTATGCATTTTTGGGAGTAACACCACCATCTACCTCTATCCACGGGTTGACCCCCTGCAAATGAAACGTTAAGCTGCAATCCTCTTGATATCTTGGGGAAAAGTTCTAAAATGATCAGTCAGTACCTTCTCAGCGCACATTCTTCTTAAATCTGAGATTTTCTTTACTTGGCTCTCAATAAAGCTCTGTCCACCAAAACCAGGGTTCACCGACATGATCAACACTAGATCAACCACTGAAACAAGTATACACAAATTAATATATCATTCTTGCATCAATGGAAGCTCTGTGGTGCACTTTCCTCCACCAGTTTTACATAAAACACTCGATAAGTTTTCTTAAAGATCTTGCTTCATTGTAAATGTGCTTTAGCTGAAAAATGGGAACTAATGTTCAATAACAAACTGATCTTGCAAGATTTTCTAATCAACCCTATGGGAAGGAATGTGGCAATTGTATCTGTTTGCATTCCATTTCCATTAATAGCTTGCACAAGTACATTTAAATGAATTCATTTATGATGTGGAACTGACAGCGACCCTTCCAAACTCAGTGCCCACAATTCAGTTATGATATTTCATAATATGTTGTATGAGCAACCAGGTTGACTTTCACATCTTTATCTAGCAATTAAGGGACGGCACTATCACTGGCATGCAGATAATACAAAATACATGAACGTATATGCAAGTGAAACTTTACAAACATGAGCTAATCTTACCATCAAGTACGTATTCTATAGTGCTCAATGGGGTTGCAGGGTTCAGGACAACTCCAGCTTTAGCTCCGAGACTTTTGATCTGTATCATGTATCAATATTCACTGCTTCAGCAGGTGAAATCCTCTGATTAACCAACCCCCAGAATACCAAAAGAAGGTACAAATGCAAGCTCAAAAAATAACTAGAAGATGTACTTTGTGACCTTTAAAGAGTAAAAAAGGCAGTACAAGCAAAAACTAGAATACCAAGTTTTATACACAATGTCAAACATAGCAAATAACAAACAAATCAAGAAGACTTCAGCATGTCCTCAAGCAAAATCCACAGAATGTTTCCTCAATCTAGCACATCTCAGTCAAGCCTCTTGTTACTTTCCACATTTTTAAGTTTATGGTCATGAAGCATGTTTTACCTTATCTTTTTTCAAGGTAAAGTAACAAACAACAAAAGCCAAATGGTAGTCAAGAAAAAGATTCTTACAACTACACAAACTTACTTGATTAAGTGTACGATGCAAGTGAATGGTAGAAGATTGCTCACAATGAACACTAACAATATCAGCTCCAGCCTTAATAAAATCAGGAACCCGCTGCTCAGGTTCAACAATCATCTGCACACTTTTAACTAAAAGTTAGAGAATTCATTCCTGCATCCACCAAGGTAATATAACATCTGTGAAAGAAGAAATACCAAATGGACATCCAATGGGAGGTCTGTGACTGGGCGTAAGGCATCAACAACCAGTGGTCCAATTGTTATATTTGGAACAAAGCGGCCATCCATGACATCAACATGAATCCAATCACAACCAGCCACCTCAACTGCTTTCACCTGAATGCACACAATTTTCAACAGAGATTATCTTAATGATATTAATAGGTCAAATTTTTCATTCGAATTCACATCATCACTTTCTAGTCTAATTAAGATTCTGAGCTTGAAAGACAAGCTTAAAACAACATAACAATAAATTATACCTGCTCTCCTAACTTGGCAAAATTGGCAGAGAGGATAGAAGGTGAAACAATAATATCGGATTTAGAAAACTTATCAACCCGAGAACTTGCCTTTACCACCATCCGGGTTTTTCTCCTGTAATCGTAAGATAAAAGAACAGAATGATATCAAAGGTAAACAATCAAGTTCTCCAAGTAAATTTTAGTTGCAGTTATGATCATTTAATATTGTAAAGTAATTTCTGAAAGTAGTGTTCCTCAACGCAAAAGAACAAGTTAGAAAGAAGATAAGGATTTCAGTCGAGCCGAAACTTCTCCAATCCTTACCGCAGACACAGAGACAATACAAAAGTGAAAAATAATATAATCAAATTTCTCAAGCTACAAAGCAAATGATCCCTTCATCTTCATGCAAGCAGAGAGACTAGAAAACAGCCTCATTTAAGCTTCACAGTCTTTTACTAATAATTCCTGAAACGTTCTTTGACACCATAGCTCAAAAGCAACGAATGTAATCAATATCTACTGGGATCAAACATATGGTCATGAACAATATTTCCAGACAAACCTATAATTTCACTAAAGCAAATTCACAAACATTATATGGACAAAGTTCACCAATCTATCATACTAAAACACCAAACAATCACCACCCCAGCAACAAGATAAAAAAGAGATAAACTTCACAAAATTGTCCCATTAAGAAACCACATGCATTTGAACAAACACAAAATCAACAAATAGCAGAGAAAGTTACAAGCATAATATGTACAGGAAAGCCCAGAGAATGAGATAAACATCAGAAGAAACTTCAATTTCTAATGACTCAGAATAATTTAATGTCAATCCATAAATGCCGGCATAACGTTGAAGCACAATTCAATGACCACACAATTGACCCAAACAAAAAAAAAAGGACATAACTTTGACTTGTTCATGCGCAAAAACTTACAAAAATAAAGACCCAAAAAAGATTAAAAACGAGAAAGAAGAAGAGGCGGAACTACGCACAGAAGAATTCACCTTGAAAAAGTGAGTGAATTGGGATTCTGAAGCTTAAAACCCAGACCATGCCTAATAATCTCTGATTGAGCTAGAGTTGATGAACCCAGACAAGAAGCTGCAGCCATACTAATTGAAAAAATCCCAACTCAATTGCCAATGAAGATGAAACGTTGAAATCAAGATCTGGTGGAGGAAGAATGTCTGTGCTTTGCTGCAGCTGGCGTTAAAACAAAATGATTTGGGTTTGGTTTCTCTGAAGCAAGAGAAGAGAGGGAAGGGAGGAAAACTATTTGGGTTTGGAGAATTCAACTAGGGAGTGCCACGTGTTGGATTTGTCTTCTTGAATGGGCCATCACCTATCTGCAATGGTTGGCCATTCTCATTTCTGCTCTCTTTCCTTATTTCGCTCATTCATTCTGTTCAAAGGTCATTCTTTGCATTGTCAACTGTCAAGAGGTAGGTGATGAAATCTGCCTTGAAAAACTATATGAAAAAAAAAAAGATAAAAAGGGTGTGAAAAGATAAAGTAGGGATGAAAACTATGAAGTCTAGACCCAAAAAAAAAAAAAAAATCTTAAATTAATCGCCTTCTCACCATACTAAAAATGACAGTATTAGTGATTTTAATGTTCGATTAATGTCACTGCAACAATTTATGTGTTTGAATTCGAATTTCTTTTTTCGTAAAATTATATTCTCACAACCGAAATTCAATTGCTCACGCTACATCACATTAAGCGAAATTCAATTGCTCCCGAAACTCCTACATCATTAATCTAAATCATTCCATTTGACTCTCTATAAGTTTTTTTTTTGAAGAAGAAGAAGAAGAAGAAAAAGAAGAAGCTCTATAAGTTGTGTTTTGTTGAGCTTTTTGACTTTATTATTATTTTTTTTTTGGTACATAGTGGAATGCTTAGCATTTGCCTCAGCCATTACATGTTCCTACCCTAACATCATTATGTAATAGTAATGATATACAAATCCAAGACGACATCAAAAAAATATCTCCCTCTATCACTATTTAGTACTTCCTCTGTTCCATAATTATTGTCCACTTTGTATTTTCATTTTTAGTTCAAATTATACTAAAATGAAATTTCAAAGTAGACAATAATTTTGGGACAAAGGGAGTACTATTTTCGTTAACATATCACCGCAAAGATTATTCTCCCGGGGAGTGCGTACGAAACAAATTTCCCAATTCAACTTCAAAAGATCCTGGATTACCCTTAAGTCCGGCTCCAGGTGAGCAAAAGAGCTATTAACTACGCCTTGAACAAGTTTAAGGGCTACAAGAGAGTCTGATTCCACAATCAGTTTCGGGAATCCTTGACTGTTGGTAGCTTGCAAGGCTATACGGATGGCCTTTGTCTTGAACCACCTTTTTCTTTTTGATAAACTGGCGTCTTGAACTACCTTTGAGTGGCTAAGAGAACATTGTTTTATTTGAAACTAGATCTTACCCGCACGTGTGCGGGATAGATAAATTATGTACAAAGATAAAAATAATGTGTATCAAAGAAATATTTTTTATTTTTGTAGAATTAAAATGATTGGAAGAGATTATGATATATTAGTTTCAGGAAATTGACACTTTTGAAGGACTCATTTTATCCACTGATATTATAAACGACCATTCTGTTTCCAAATGGGCTGTAGTAAATCAAATATATTGTACTCTTCCTTCATCTTTTACGTCAAAGCATATGTAGTCGATAATGAATTACTTGCCCCACCTTAAAAATAATTTTTTTGTTACAAATATATATATATATATATATATATACTGACTAAACTTCTCCGAATAAATAGAAAATTTAATGTATAAAACTTACAAAAATTACATTTATTTATTATTGTTCAATTGGTATAATAATTCCTTTACAATCTCAAATTTTGCATCTGTAAAGCGATACAACATTTACTTTGTTGTAACTAAATTAATGTGAAACAATCATTTTACAACTATATCATAAAAATTAAAAAAAAAAAAACTGAGTTGGAACTTCTCCAAATTATTTTTGGTGATCCACCATAGTGTAGAGTAGTTGGACATAACATAATTATTATCAAACACATCACTCCAATACGATTAACTTGCCCCATCCAAGAAATGTGAAAATAACTAAAACTCGTTAGTCTTTAATAATACTGTCCCATCCCAGCATACCTTTTTACATTTCTAATACACCTTTTTACATTCTCAATACAAAAAATACCTAAAAATACACACTAAAAAAATAAAACAAACATACCCTAAATTTCATAAGTGGACAAAATTGAGAGAGTATAGGAAGAAAAAGATTACCTGGATGATCCCCAATATAGATTGTTAATATGGAACCAAAATTTGAACATTTTCAGGGTTCAGGGTTTACCGAAAAACCTTTTAGAATTTTTTAATAAACTGCTAATAGTATGCGTTTCAAACTCTCATCTAAGTTGCATAAATTTCTTCAAAAATTTAGTCCCTTTCTTGTATACGGATCTCGTTTCTTCTCCACTACAAATAATAAATCCAACAATAAAAAACTCATAACCAAATTATCAATAAAGTATAATCAAGTTAAACAACTGCATCACGAAATATAGAACAAACATGCAAAAGTCTATCAAAATCAAACAGTAAGTGAACTATAATACGAATTGACATTCATCATTGATAGAAACTCCATTCCTGAAATTAATTAACTAACCTTGATGAAAAATGGGCATGAACAATGAGGGGGAAAAGAGGAGGAGGTGAATGTACAATACCTGTTAAATTTATATGGTCCAGTCAAAAGCTATTAAGTTTTCTAACCGAATAAAATCCCTAAAGTTTAGGAATTTCAATTTTTAATGAAACGCTAAAATTTAAACGCGATTAATGCTTATCATAATTCAAATCAAATTTTAAAATTCAAAATGTTAGGATATTTTAGTCTAATTTACAATCTAATTAATAAAAAAATCAGGATTATATATGTATATTGAAATATTTAACATATTTAATATGTTTTAGTTTAATTTTTTTTTTTTTTGTGCAAAAAACTCGAATCAACATTAATGTTGATTTTATGATTTCAACTTTCCGATTAAAAAAGATTTAACATTAATTTTCATTATTTTTTTAGGTAAGGTCATTGGCCATAGTTTTTTAGGTAATGTCATCAACCATAATTGAAGCTTTATTTAAGTCAATCAGAAAATTTATTCAAATCAATCAGAAATAATTATAATAAAATCAAATCAATATTTACCTTTTCTTTTTGACACCAAATGAAAAGAAACCATTAATGTTTTTTTTTTCAAAAAAAATGTTCCATTTTTTATATTTTGACCGAATTCAAAAGTGAAAGTTTAGCCCCCAATTAATTGATAGAATTTAATTACGATTTGATGAAACTTTATTTGCCGAAAATTCAAAGGACTGTTAGTGTAATTATTATAAATATTTTTTGTGTCAACCTATAAAAAAATGACATGTAGAATTTTTGTGTCAAATCAATCAGCAATAATTATAATAAAATCAAATCAATATTTACCTTTTCTTTATGACACCAAATGAAAAGAAACCATTAAGGTCATTTTTTTTTCCAGAAAAATGTTCCATTTTTTATTGTTTGACCGAATTCAAAAGTGAAAGTTTAGCCCCTAATTAATTGATAGAATTTAATTACGATTTGATGAAACTTTATTTACTGAAAATTCAAAGGAATGTTAGTGTAATTATTGTAAATATTTTTTGTGTCAACCTATAAAAAAATGACACATAGAATTTTATCTTATGTGTCAACGGGAGGAGAAGTTTGATTTCCTTTCTCTGGTTTCTCTCTTTATATAATACTATAGAAGATTATAATTGATAATTAAACAAAGTAAAGGTTGGGCAATCATATTCATGTTTTGTGGTATCATTTATATGGCTCTGGGGAATCTGATAACATGGACAAGAGCATCTAACAAAACCAGCTTGAGGCATTCATTCCGTTTGAATTATGCGTGCTTGTTTGGACATCATCTTATATTTTATTTTGCCACTTAAAAATGGAAAGTGTTTCAAGTTGAAAAACTAAATGGGAAATGAAAATGTTGTTTGGATGGTATTTTGAGTAAAAAGTTGTTTGGATATTGGTTTTGAAAAAAATATTTTGAACTACATTTTGAAATATCAAGTACGAATCATCACTAAACAATAAAATACTGATAATTATAGTCACTTTAAAAAAGAACTTTTTCAAAAACAATCACTGAACAACGGAAACCTAGCAAATTTGTCACTCTAAGATTTTCTTTTGTTAGATTTCGTCATTGAACTACTTTTTTTTCAAAAATGATCATTACATTAATAAAAAATGTTTCAAGTTGGAATTTAAAATATATATCAGAAAATTGTTTGGATAATTTTTTCTTTTCCATTGGGTTTTGTGTTTAAGAGGTAAAATGAGTTAAAATATAAAATGAATTAACATCCAAACAAGTACGATATCTTTTAAGGTTTCTTCTCCTTGTACCAGAATTCCTTTCCTGAATTGTAATTGTTGTTTTATGAATTTCCAAATACAATCATCCTTTGCGTTTGCAGACAAACCACGTTGTAAGAAATGGTTGTTGATTTACCTCCCCGGAAGGAATTGTGGGTGGGGAAACTCTTTTATTCTGGTCATGGTTTCTATTGGCTTTATGGTTCATCCGGGTACAGATAGAACTTCAAGAAATTGTGAATGGTCTCATCAATACAAAAATGTATAATTACGAATTTCAGTCGCGCCGAGAAGAGTCTCCTCATTGTACCAGCTATGAACTTATTTTTCGGAGTATTAACTTCTTTAGAGTGCTTTGACGTGTGTGATGGGAAAGATGAATTATAAAAACCAAAAAAACAGGGGAAAAAATGAAATACAGAGCTATAAGAATAGTAGCGTGGTCCGGTTTCCCAGATACAATTCTTCAATTCTTCATTTGCAGCTGTACGATTTCCAACACACATGAAATGAAATTATTTATAAAAAAAAATCAGTATACTTTTTATATGATACTACCTCCATTCCAAAATACGTGTTGTTTTGACAAAATGAAAAAATTCCAAAATAAGTGTCCTTTTCGAATTCCAATGCATTTTTTGTTAAAAATTTCTAAACATACCCTCAAAAGAAATAATATTATTGGTGAAACATTTATTTTAATGGGGTTGGTAGAAAATATTCTAGTAATTAAGTTCCCATGTTTAATGTTTTTTTAAATTGTGTGCAAACTCTAGAATGACATTTATTTTGGAACGGAGGGAATAGTAAAAGATTGAAACATGGGATTAGTGACAAAACCCAATCCCATTTAAACCTTACAAAATAGCAATACTGTATAATATATACCATGCAATAACTCTGATTCAACACTTATCTACCTACTTTCTCCACTATATATATATATATATATATATATTACAATCCCAATTAAGCTTTTGAATCTCTATATACAAAAACCAAAATTTATTTTATACAACCCTAAAAATACAGATATTGAATGCCTTGGGGATAGATAAGAGCTATATGAAAATGTACAAAGATATTTTCAGCTATGATCCAGTAGTCATGGTCTCTGTCTCTCATCATAGAATTCTTGGTGAGCTATTTGCTTCCATCCATCTTCAGTTTTGAGGGATGAAACAAAATAATACAACAATGTACCAAAAATAACCAGATGACACTTGAAACTATACCCTGTGTCTGCAAACCGGACAAGAATTATGTATAACAAGCCATTTGTCCACACAATTCCTATGGAACGTATGGTTGCATTTTGGCAGGCACCTTGCAATGTTGCCTACACCAATATCCTAGAAGCAAAACCAGATTATTATGTTCAGTAAATGTGTGGATATGAAGATCAATAAACAAATCTTCATGGTGAACACCAACCTGCAAACATATGGTGCAGCATGTGTCTTGTGCAGCTTTTGTTTGATATGATAGTACGTGCCATGGTAACTTGTTGAGCGAATCCCTGGATAAGCCTGCTGATGAAACTTCAGCAGGAGGACGACTATTTTCACTGTGGTTTGTAGCAGAACGGTTCAACTGCTTATTACAGCACAATGTTTTAGATGACAGTAGTAGATTTTGTATGAAATTTCCATAACTCTACAGCCAAAAACAAGTAGCAACACTTGATCGGATTTCAAATTGCAGGAGATAAATCATGAAAATCAGTCAAGAGATCAACCAAAAAAATTGACACCCTGGGAACGGAAGTTTTTCAAATGAAACTTCTAAAAGGATTTTCCGTGGACATACAAAAGGTTCTCCTATTTGTAACTTATAACTTAATTGACATATGAAAAACTGTAAACTGTGCAGATAAGAAATAGAGGGAGATCATGCTGATAGAGGGTAGACCTGTGAATCATAAGTTCTTGAAGTTGCAATCTGAAGCTGCTCCATCTGTTCATTAACAAATCTACCATGAAGAAGCTGCTGCAAGAAATCAGCCTGATAAAAAATAGAAAAATTCACCCCGAAAAAGAACATTAGATAGCAATGAGCCACAAGTCGCAACTCACAACAATATAGCAAGCTCAAGCTGATAGAAACACATACAACTTCAAATAATTAATGATGCTGACCATAGATGACGATACATATAGGCGAGGGTATTCTGAACACCAATATGCACGCATAGCCTCCAATAACTCTAAAGAGATACTAGCCCCAGCAACGGCAACCACAGTAACCCCATGAATGATGCCACCATTGGAAATCCAACCTGCTAATGCCCCGGCTACTCCTCCAGCAAAAGCCCCACCTTCATCACCACAAGCAGAAAACAGATCAATTTAAGACTAACAGAAACTAGCCCTCTACTTTGAGACCTCACGGAATCCGAACAAAAAACACACACACACACACACAGGAGTAAAGTAAAGCACAGCATGCCATTCCTAGAAGCCATCTACACTTTATGCATTTAATCCAAAAGAGACAACTTAAAAGCAATGCATATGAAAAGCTGCAACAGATAAATTCCTAAGATTTAAAAGAGAAGAGAAGCATTTATCTATTCTATCTTTACAACAACATTAATTGCATGATAAGTCCAGTACAATTGCGACAATTTTGCAAGAGAATTATCATCAACAGAGCAGTCGAGGGCCTTGGATTACACAAAAGAATTTACAACAAGCTTACTGAAACCGCAATTCCAAAAAGCATTAAGGCGCTATGGAAACATGTTAAAGGATTGAACAATCCAAAGATCAAATCTTTACAGAGGAACAAAACTTGACTAAATTGAATTCAACTAAAACCATCCTATAAAAAAGAAGAAATCAAATTCCAGCTAGAAATTAGAGCAATTACTGTAAAATAACAACAAAACTTTACATGGTACAAGCTTATAACTTCTTTAACTGACATACAAACTCCAAGTAAAAAAGAAAAAAAAAAAAGAGTTAAATTTTGAAGGGGAAAGACCCAAACAAAAAAGAAGGGATTCCACTATGTAATTACCCATTAGAAAGAGAACAGTAAGAGCAGCGAAGATTGCTCTGGCAATAAACCTCAGCACGCAATACAGAGGAAGAAGCAGCAAAGCTTTGATTCCAGTATGGCGCGAAACGGACCCACAAGACAAGCAAGAACAGGCCAAGGCCATACAAACTTGATGACCTGCACCGAATTAATCAAGGGCTGTTCTTGGTTTTTAGGAATTGAAGGGAAATAATTAAGTTTGTGGATGATTTTAGTTGAAAACGATGAAGAACTAGAGAAAATGGAATGAACAAGGCATGTTAAGTGAAAAAGGGAACTGGAACTTCGGCGAGTCTTTAGTTTCAGGGTAGTTATTTCACTTGGAAATACGATTGTGAAATTGTGTTATCTATTGTACTTAATTAAAGTACTCCTCCATTCCAAAATAAGTGTCTGTTTTGACAAAATGAAAAAATTTCAAAATAAGCGTCGTTTTCGGATTCTAATGTATTTTTTGTCAAAAATTTCCAAACATACCCTCAAAAGAAATAATATTATTGGTGAACATTTATTTTAATGGGGTTAGTTGAGGATATTCTAGTAATTTAGTTACCCTATTTAATGTTTTCTTAAACTGTGTGGAATCTCTAGAATGACACTTATTTTGGAACGGAGGAAGTAGCATACAAGAATTGACATGTCTCAGTTTCACGTTGAAAATTTTCTGGTCAAATGCCTCTTTTAGTATAAAATGAAAATTGACACGTGACACTCTAGATTTGTAGAAAAAAGAATGATTTAATGAGTCCAAAAATTACGATAAATGAATAAAAAAGAGAATTCCCTCAAATTTATTCTACTTAATTAAAGTAACATACAAGGAGGACATGTGTCAACTTCACGTTGAAAATTTTTCGCCGAATGCCTTTTTTAATACAAAATAAAAATTGACACGTGGCACTCTAGATTTATATAAAAAAAAAAGATGGTTTAATGAGTCTAAAAATTACGATAAATGAATAAAAAAGAGAATCCCCTCAAATTTATTGTACTTAATTAAAACAGCATAGAAAAAGGACATGTGTCAGCTTCACGCTGAAATTTTCTCGCCAAATATTTTTTTTAGTACAAAATGAAAATTGACATGTGACACTCTAGATTTGTAGAAAAAAAATGGTTTAATGAATCTAAAAATTACGATAAATGAATAAAAAAGAGAATCCCCTCAAATCAGATGAATGCGTCTCAATTTCGGCGAAAGTTTGAAACCGTTTTTAAAATCATACATGCCTCTCTCTCAATCCAGATGAATTGAAAAATATCTCAATTTCAAAAAATTCAACCTCAAATATTAGAAAACGGTGATTCTCTTCTTCATCCTCTTCTTCTTCTTCGGCCAATTGGCCATATCATCACCATCATCATCATCATCAATAAAAACGGATAATTCTCCAGCACCTTCTATGGAGTAAGATGGTTCAAGGCTTCCTCTTTCGCTTCCTCCCCAATCTCATAGATTGACGGCAATAAAAGCTTTTCTCCGAGAGCCGACATCAATTGCACGAGGTAATGCATTTATGTAATTGCTAAAAAGTTAGTATTTCTGTTTTGATTCCGATGCATTACGTTTCGATTCGGATGCCACTAACACTCCAATATTCTTAGTTCTTTGGCAAAATCTCCCCACATAGTCAGATCTCAGCAGCCCTTGAATTATTTTTGTCTTTTGATACCTTTCAGGAGGAATTGTGATTCTATAGTTTTGGTTTTTTTTTTTTCAGATGCAAATGTTACTGTTGGCTGTGGGAGATGCTAAAGAGGCTCTTAGTCATGGCGAGTACTCAAAGATCGCAAACGAGAAGGAATTTTGCTCCATCATCAAGGCCAGATCTGTTGAGTTCTAAAACATGCTTCCGTTGATACTCCCCTATTATGGAATTGTGGTTCTGTACTTGGCAGAAGTGAACTTAAAGGCTTCAAGGTAATTCTTTTGTGGGATTTGATTATTTGATTTGTTATACAAAAGAGAAAGGGTTTTATATTCATATGTCTTCTCCATTAAAATAAGTCTAAATAATCAGCACCAATCAAGACATTAATTTTATTTTACTTGCAAAATAAATTATTCAAACTATGGGAATTGGGATGTATAATTTTAGTTGAAGTTGGCTATGGATTGTGCTTTATGTCCAAAATGATGATGTGATGATGAGAAAGAAAATGCAGTTTTGGCTACCATGCTTGGAAAGATGTTTTGGATACTAGCTCTTGAGGATATATTCCACTAGCAGAAACTTTGCTTTATTCTTAAGATGCTAAATTTCACTTTGATTTTTAACAGGGAATGACACTTTTGACGTTATCGGCTTCAGTTCTTGGTCTGAAGCCAACATGTGTTTCCAAAACTGAGTCCCATGCAACCAAAGCTCAGACTAGTTGCATTTGCTGCCCTCATCTGGTTGCTTTAGGAACAGGAGGAATCAAGCCCTGTGTTTCATCCTATGGAGCTTATCAGTTCGATGATGCTGACGACAAGGAAAAACATCAGAAAAGTTCATTTTTCAATTGGTTTTACTTCAGCATCAATGTTGGAGCTCTGGTTGCTTCCTCTCTGCTGGTCTACATTCAAATCCATGTTGGTTGGGTATGGGAATTTGGCGTGCTTGCTGCAGCCATGGCCATCGCCGTTGTTTCCTTCTTTTCTTGTACCCAGATTTACAGGTATCAGAAACCTGGAGGGAGTCCCCTAACTTGCCTCTGCCAGGTGGTGGTTGCATCGATTAGAAAGAATCATGTTGCCGTTCCAGCCGATGAGGCTCTTCTCTATGAAGCTCAAGATGAAAAAAACGCCATTGTAGGAAGTCGAAAAATCGAGCACACAACAGCTTTAAGGTATTTGTTCTATTAAGAGATTCTGTTACAACTCCCGTGTTGCCAAATTTGAAATCCTAAATTCTTCCAATATTATATTCCCAATAATGTGTGATACTAATACATGAAATTTGCCTATTCTGAATTTGAAGTTTCTTTGATAAAGCCGCAGTGGTGACAGATTCTGATTATAAGAATGACTCAGAGATAGATAAATGGAGACTTTGCACTGTGACTCAAGTGGAAGAGCTCAAATCAATCATAAAGTTGCTTTCCATTTGGGCCACGGGTATTATCTTCAGCGCTGTTTATGGCCAAATGGGCAACTTATTCGTTTCTCGAGCAACATTCATGGACACTCATGTCGGAAACACCAAATTCGAGATCCCTGAAGCTGCACTTAGTGTATTCGATACCCTCAGTGTCATCGTGTGGGTACTAATCTACGACAAAATCATCACCCCATTCGCCCAAAAAGCCACCGGCTGGAAGAATGGCTTGACTCAGCTACAACGTATGGGAATTGGGCTCCTCATCTCCGTCTTAGCCATGGTTTCTACGGCCGTTTTGGAGATTGTAAGACTCGGCATAGTGAAAAGACATAACTTTTACGAGGTGAAACAAGTCCCGATTTCGGTATTTTGGCAGGTTCCTCAATACTTCATCATCGGTTGGGCCGAAATCTTCACATTCATCGGGCAGCTGGAGTTCTTCTATAAACAAGCTCCTGATTCGATGAGGAGTTTGTGCTCTGCCCTTTTGCTTACAACCACAACACTTGGAAATTACCTCAGTTCTTTTCTGGTGTGGATTGTGACAGAGTACAGTACAAAGGGTGGCAAACCAGGATGGATTCCAGACAATTTGAACTATGGACATTTGGATTACTTCTTCTGGATGTTGGCTGGTTTGATTGTGCTGAATTTGGGAGCTTTCATCTTGGTTGCTCAAAAGTTTAAGTACAAAAAGGCAGTTGGCACTCTTCGCTGATTCAGTTAGATTAAATTAAAGTGTCCATACTGTGTAATTTTTATTGTTTCACATATTTTTCTAATTGTCTTGTAAATGTAACTGTAACCATTAGAATTGATGCCCATCGCGTTGATACACTATAATATAATCTATCCCTTGATCGTAAAACCTTAATATATGATTGTGTTGATAACACTTTTACATTTTAATATGTTACTTCGATCATATAATTATGCTGGATAACACTTTTACATGTTAATGCGTTGCCTCGATCGTAAACCTTAATATATGTCAATGTGTCCCGGACGAATAGAATTTTTGATTAGGAACGATGATAGTGTTTGAAATTTTCTTGATGTGGTTACGAGAGTGAGAAGGTTCGTACCACAGTAACAGAGACATTAATTTTTGTCTTATGATTTGTTTTGTTCCATTCAATCAATTTAAAACACAGGTGGTCGCATGGGCATTCGCCCAGGCCAAACATCTAGTTATTTATTAATGGAAAATTTTCTCCCAACAACCAAAATTCATTTTGAGAACGTATATGGATTTGACAGCTGATAAATTAAGAGCAATATTTTAATTTTGAGAAAATTTTTTTCATCAAAAACCCATAATAACCTTATGTAAAATTTAAAGAATTTGATCTATTTATTTTTTTCCGTTAATTCTCTCCCTTCCATGTTAGTCCAGGCATGTCTCTATTTGCGAACAAGGTAATTTTATTACCTCGTTGAAAGGGTTAGCAACACCTGGAGCAGTAGTAACATCAACCTCTTCAAATGTTCATCCACTTTATTTTCGTGAGAAAACATGTAGTTGCAACATAAAAACAAGCAAAACAACGTCGAAGCCATTGATAAACATATGGTGCATCATTCGAGGTTGGGTACTAATGATAATTATTTCCATTAAAAAAATTAGAATTTTTTGGATTAAGATTATAAAGTTGATTAAGGAGTTGGATTAAAAAATGCCAAAAAAAAGCTGAAAACATAGTGCCGTTGTGAAACAAGGGAGAAATTTAAGGGAAAAAATATCGAGCAATCACTTAAAATTTGTATAAGGGCAATATAGGTATTTTAAAGAATTTTCTTTCAAAATAAAAAAATTGCTCTCAATTTATCAACATCCCTATTGATTTACTCCCTCCGTCCAACAAATATGATAATTACTTTAGACAGGATAATAATGAGTTTCTTGGTTTGAATATTTATTTTGAAAAAGAAAATCATTTTTGAAAAAAAAAAGAAAAAAAAAAGTTTCATGGTCATTTGGAAAAGTTTCTGAACAAGTGCCAAACCTAATCCCTATTCTTATAAAAAAAAAATACCTCCAATTATATTTCAATGATAAACTAATATTTTGATTGGCTGAGACGAAAGACTCCCGATGACATCAACGATTTTAATAAGGGTTAAAATAGTCAATAGATAAACAAATAGTATTTCCAAAATAATTTCATATCAATAATACAAATTAAAAATTTGAATAATGAAACGACGTTGTTCTGACTCCCCATCGAGATTAAAAACCTCAACATGAAAACGATGTCGCTTCGACAATTTTTTTTGCGTTCGATGTTTTAGTTGACCCGTCTGACTAACGGTGTGTGAAGTTCATAATTTTTTCTCCTCTAATTCTCCCCCTCCCCCTCAATCGCTCCAGTCCATCATTTCGACTTCGTATAAAAATTGCAGATAGAAAAATGGGAAAAGGGTTTTGAAGTTGCGATATGGAGTGTAATAATAATTTTGGTTATAGTGAAGTTTCTCCTCTCCTTGCAACTTTGCTATGTGTGGGAGTAATTAAGAAAGCGAAGTGAATATGTTAGACTAGGAATGAGTCTTCTTTTTGAAAATCATTATTTTATTGATTAAGAAGAGCTAAATTTGATTGAATTGCATGTGTTGATTCATGTTGGATAATATCGTGTTGCTGAAAAATTTCAAAAGACATGGCAAAAGTTGCATTCAAGCAAGAGCATGATTTTGGTTGTTTTGACCTTCTGCATTATTGTAATTTTAAGAAAAGCCTGCATATTCGAATTTTTGGGTTAAATGAAGTTGTTGCTGCTGGTTCTGTGGTTGATTTAGCAATCTGCTGATGTTGCATTATGGTTCTAATGTCTTTGTAGACTCGTTAAGGGCTAAATATCATTTAGGTACTTGTTGGATTGTGTATTTTTACTCTTATTTCGTTGATCGATTGATTTTGGACTGCAGTTAGATCGAGTTTTTCAACTACAGGAGTATCAATTTCAAGGGTGTAGTGATTTTTTGAGTTCAAAAACGCAGACATGAGGCCAAATACATGCATCACCATCATCATAGGAAGTTTCAATGAAGGGGAAGAAATCGATCAGTTTATCTCAGGCGAAGAAGTATGCCATTGTATTCTTTCGAATTTAAACCATGCATAGGCTTACGAAGAGACTGTTCTTCTGACTCAAAGTGCACCAAAACCAGTTCAAAATGAGAAGTCAACAAACCTCGACCTTGGGGTCGAACTTTAATGACAAAAGGTTTCGTTACAAGTAGTGCTATTTAAGCTTTTCAGGCTCTTAAGTGTTTCTAATATTCTTATCCAAGTGTGAACCATAAAACCAATTCAAATGTGAATCACAATTGGAAATTTCCGAATAATTTTACTTACCAAAACCTTCCCGAACCGAACAAATAGACAAAAATACTTGGTTAAAAACACAGACAAGTATGGTATCAATTTAAGGTGTAACGGTCTTCAATAGAAAAAAAAAAGAAAAAGAAAAAAGAATCCAATGAAGAAATCATCTTTGATTAGTCCCTTCCGTATCATTTATTAAAATTACCGTATACCTTATAGTTAAGACCGGGAAGTATATCATTTGCATCACTGTGATCCAAGACAAGTGTAATTCGCGAGACAGGAAAAGAATACGGCACATTAGATAGGAAAATAGTCATGTTATTTGAGTACTATTACAATTTTTGAATAACGTCAGACATCAAAATAATTTTATCCTTTTCTGACGACCAAGAAGTCTTACGAGATATGCCCACCAGAGCGAAGTTATGTACAATCAGATTAACATTTGCGATTTGGAACTACTTTATCCCCATCGAGTATCGACTTCATGTCTTCTCGAATACAAGAAAATGTTACATGTCTGATTGAGCATTCCGTTCTTTACTAGGCCTTTAATAAGACAATAAGTGTAGATAACATCGGGAGTGACTCCTGCTTCTATCATTTCCTTGTTAAGCTTGAGAGCTTCACCGGCATTACCATCTTTGAAGTGCCTGTTCATCATAGATGCATAAACAAAAATATCAGGGCTCAAACCTTTTATGACCATCTCATCGAACAACTCCATGGCAGCAACAATTTTATGGTCCCGGCATGGATTTTGTCAAAATCTTCAATGTTCCATTATGGTTTCAGAGATTTCTGGATGAAGGAGAGGAAGAGCAAGAGTAAATGAAGCAGAGGTGACAGTTTGAATCAGGCGCCAATTTCACCATTTAAATTAATTGCTCAATTTAATGTGTAGAAAGAACATTACCCGTTATTTTGCTGACGGAACAGTACAAATGCCTTAATAAAAGTAAAATTCCGTGAAGGTTATTATTGCTCAATAGTAGGACGAGATCCTCTCTGTCACTTTTATGTGACAATGTTTCATCATTTAATAACTTCATACATATAAATATTTTCATAATATTTACACTATTTACAATCACTTTCAAAGTTATATATTTTAGAAGTAAGGATTCACTATTTTTTAGTTAGGACCTTTTTTTTTTAATTTCATGGTTAAAAAATTCAATAAAATAGCAAAATTACATTAAGAATAAAATATTGATGCAAAAACATAAAATAACAATATGAAAATAATCTATCGTGAAAACATATGTTTATGGTATATGTATTACCGCAAATTCTAGAATTTATAAAAATGATGGATAGTACAACAGAGAGTGTCACAAAAAAATGGGACAGAAGTTCCTATACCACAATGTAGGTTAATGCTTCGATTATATTCTCTTCATTTTGGAACAATTATCTGTTACGTTAAAATAAAATAATACAATAAAGTGAATAATATTTCAAGAACGACCTTTAATCATTTTTAAATCACAAAAAATTTAATATATATATATATATATATCTATTGTACTTAATTAAAGTAGTATACAAGAAGGACACATGCCAGCTTCACGTTGAAAAGTTTTCCGCCAAAACCCTTTTTCAGTAGAAAATGAAAAACGCCACGTGACTTCCTAAATATTTAGGAAAAACAATCTCAAAAAATGGAAAATAGGCCCGCCTTTCAATTCTGTTCCAAGAACGTCAAATTAGGACGGTAAAAATAAGCCCTAAAAAATTCTGTCTCATCTTTCGCTTCAAATTCAAAAATGATTCCTCTAATCAGATAACAGATTACTCCAAATCTCAACTCCATCAATCACAATATCCGTTTGAATTTCAAACACAGAAGATCTGATTCTTTTTTTTTTATCTCTCTCTTTCATTATTATTTAGATCAATCCTAGGGTCAAAACGTTCATCGCCGCTCTCTCCTCTTCTCTCCTCCTCCTCGGATTTCCTCTAATTGATTGGCATAAAGAAAAATTTCAAGCTTTGGGACAATGGGGTTGGCAAACTTAACAGCAACAATGAAGATTTCGATTGCAAAACACAAGCCACGTCATCAAATTCATCGGCTGGATCAACACCGATTGACTATTGCCGATAATACCATAGTTCTCGAAACAAATCTGGTAGATTGGTTTGACGGTCAACAAGATTACGAAGAAAAGGCCAGCGAGATCTTCATTTTCAAGTTAGTAATGCAGTTTCAATTGTTGTCGTTGTGTTTTGATCGTATTGCCTGAATCTTATCGCGCCAAATTATAAGTTTCGGCCAGAAATAGTAGACAACAATGGCAGCAGAAAAGCCAACGGTGAAAAATAACAACAAAATAATTGTGTAAGTATTGAACTCATTTTAGTGTTCATGCATTTTATTGCCAAAATTGGTTTTTATTTTATAATTTTTATTTTTTAAAACCTGTTACCCAGGGACTCACAGTTAAATTGTTGGTCGAATCAATGGAGGTGAAAAATCAATGATGATGGCAAAAGCAAAATCTGGATAGACCATTTCGCAAGGTTTAATCTTTCTTTAATTTTTTGCCTTTTCTTTTAGTGGTCGTCCTTTCAGATTTTTTTTGGTTATTCCATATTTGTTTGTTCCTATGAGGGAATAAGGAAGGAAAAAATTCTCTGTTGCACGGACTCGCTCCTTTGAATTAGTGCATTAGTTTTCAATGTTGCTCTCCTTTTTACCACAGACAATCACATTTTTTTTTTCGAGTAGTACTGGGAGGCCTGAACTACATTGGATGAGTTTTCAATTACGCCTCCTGCTATATGTGTAAACCACCCGCAGAGGTTTTGAAACTAGATGGGACCCAGACCGGTACAAGTTAAAGGCTTTGCCATGGCGTGTTGTCTAAAAAGTCCTGTTTCCTTTGACAATTGAATTCATACTTCCTGTTTCTGATTAGATTTATTAATAAACTGAATTGGTGAAATTGGTGTGTTGCTCTGCAGAGCATGTGAAATACAGAGTCACCTGCGTCATCTTAATATTCTTATGTGAAATCCAGAGTCACATGCGTCATCTTAATATTCTTGGACTCAATGGCTATTTTTATGATCTGCTAACATGACTTCTAATCAATCTTATTTGTAAAGGGAAAAAAAAGTCAGAAGACTGATTTCATGAATAACTTATGCAGAAACAAGTTTATTTGATTCTTGAATATGCTGCATAGGTGAACTCTACAAGGAGTTGCAGAAGTGAAAATATTTCAGCTGGAGCCGTGCGGCTACTGTGAGTCTTCTGATGTCTTTTCTGGAGCTCAATTTTTATCTAAATGTGTACATTTGATTAATGAAAAAAGAGGAATCCTTCTTTTCAGTTCTGTGTATTATGCAATAAGAGCACTTCTTTGTTTTGCAGGAAAGAAGTCTGATAGGAGAGTTCTTTCTGATATGCCGAATTTGGTTTGGTTCTTGCTAAAATGTTGTGTAAGGCAATTTTGATTCTCCATATTCAAGGATTGTTTCTTTGTTGGGTGTTCCTATAGTTTCTTTATTACTATACACTGCATATTGATGACCTGTTTAGTAAGATTATTAAATTAAGAAATTGATACTCTTTATTTTTTGATTTATGACCTTCTAAAGTTCAAACTTATATAGATTAAAAAAGCCTACGGGTTTTCTTCCCTGCACCAATACTTTTGTCATCTGAAGAAAGTTTGTGGAACAAAAATGACACTGGCTTAAATATGGTTAGAAGAGTGGACAACTGAAAGTCTTGCATTAATGGTTGTTTATATTCAATTTATCTCTTGGGAATTATGAATGCATTTCATTGGAAAATATATTTTCCTATTGAGCAGATTAATGAAAGCTAAAAGCTGTGGTGAATATGAATGTTTGATTGATTTTTTTTTTTTTTGCATTCAAGACGCTAATTGTATGGCGCAAGCTGCTTCTGATTATCGGCCGATAATAGATCAGTTGCTTTCTTTCTATGTTGTTGACTTGGATCGGCCAACATACGAAGATTCGGTGGCCGTTATAAATAATGTAGGCCCATAAACAGATTGGAGGGCACCACTGATCGAGTCTTTAGCTTTCCTGGAAAGAAAGGTTGATTCGGAACTTCGGAACTCCGGAAACAGTCGACCAATTATTTGCTCATTGACGGGTTGTTGTACAAGAAAATGGAAGATGAGGTATTGCTGAAATGTGTTAGCAAACCAGAAGCATTTTTAGTTATACTAGAAGTGCATGAAGGAGTTTGTGGTGCTCATCAGGGTCGAAGGAAAATGTCTTTGTTGATTTAAAGGTACGGTTATTTTTGGCCAAGTATAACCAAAGATTGTATAGAATCCGCTCAACGGTGTAAGGAATGTCAAAAGCATGGGTATGTTCAGAAGATGCACCCAGAGCCGATGCAGATCATAGTGAAACCATGGCCGTTTAGGTGCTGGGCAATGGATTTGATTGGGATGATTTATCCTCCGACAAGTGAAGGCCACAAGTATGTTATAGTAGCTACCGATTACTCCGCTAAATGGGTAGAGGCGATTCCGATATAAGAGGCCGATCAGAAAACTGTAATTAAGTTTGTGAAAGAACACATCATTTATAGATTTGGAATTCCAGAAACTAAAGTTACTGATCAGGCCCAGTACTTTGTTGGAAAAGATATGGTAGAGTTTGCTAACAAGATTGGATTTGCTTTTACGCATTTTTCTCCATATTTTGCACAAGGGAATGGACAAGCTGAAGCTTCTAACAAAATTCTTAAGGGGATTATGCAAAAATCTATAGATGAAAACCCAAAAGAATGGCATTAATCGGTTCTCCAAGCTTTGTGGGCTTATCGGACAACTAAGCGACGAGGAACTGGAACTACTCCTTATGAGTTGGTCTATGGGCAAGATGCAGTATTACTGATTGAACAGTTAGTCAAGTCGGTAAGGGTGGTTGAGCAGTGTCCTATTGATTTAGAGGAGTATCGACTGGCAATGCATGAGCAACATGAACGGGTATTGGAAACAAGGAAACAAGCTATCCAACATATTCAGTTACAAAAGGAGAGAATGTTCAAGCAATATCAGAGGAATACAAGGCAGAGGATATTTGAACTTGGGGACAAAGTTTGGAAAGCGGTCTTGCCGATTGGACAGAAAGACCACAGTTTAGGTAAATGGTCATATGTATGGGAAGGTCCATTTATCATACATTAGAGTTTAGGCAAAGGGGTTTACAGGCTCAAGTCATCAACACGAAAAGTTCATGCAAAAACAGTTAATGCCGTGATCCTAAAGAAGTATCATGCATCAGCATGGGATCAACTAAGTGCCACAGATCAACAGATAGCCAAAGAGTTAGCAAGGCAAAGATATGAATAGCAAAGCAATTTTATTCAGAGAAAGAAAAAGACCCATCGAAAAGTAAAAGAAATATTCCCAGCAAAATGCAGGCTGGCCAACAAAATCAAGAGAAATAAAATATTTTAAGACCCACACAGGGGTCGATGGTAAAAGATAAATTATTCAGAAGAAGGGATTCACTCACCCTTTGATTCACCAGAATGTTCTGGAATAGGTCATACACCAGCATCAACCCTGAACTATCTCAGAGCGGCTTCCACTTTCCCCCAATGCCGAATGAGTATCCATTAGTTTGGCACCAGCTTGGTCATATAACGGCTTGACATTTTCAGCTTTGTAGTACCATTCTTCAACCTGATTAAGTGCTTCAGTCGCCTGATCGGATAACGGGACCAGCTCTCGATTTTTGGCTGCAATCTGATCCTTAATCTCTTGAAGTTTCATCTCCAAATTCTGTTGGGAGATGTATTGTTTTTGTAGGTCATTGAACTCAGCAAGGAACTCATTTAAAATTTCGGCGGTGAGGCTGGTCGTGCTCTCAGCCATAAGAACTTTAAGATCCTTCTTGATCTGATCCGATTGGGCAGTAAACACTTGGCCAACTGGGGTACTGATTATCTTTTTGGACAGCTCGGTGACGGAAGCACCTACAAGGGGGGTCATTGATGCTCGGGGGGCACCTGTTTTAAGGCTTGCCAACCTAGCACGTAGTGCCGCTGATGAGAGCAGATTGGAACTTGGAGACTCAGTCTGATTGGTTGAAGCCGATGGAGTAGGAGTAGACAACATAGGTGGGAGCTGAGAAACAACGTCATCAACATCTGATCTTTGTTTTTTCTGAGTATCGGCAGAAGAACTCTATGGCAATCGGCGTTTTCTAATAAGAGGGATTTTTTCTTCTTTTTCATCTTCGTCGGTTTGTTGTTGAGGAACTTCTTCCTCCTTATGGTCTTCTTCATCCAGGAACGTGATTTCATCGTCAGCCGATCCTTGTCCCTATTATCGAACAGAAGGAGGGAAAATTTTACTAGAAGGTAAAGAAAAAACAACACAGCAAGGGACGCACATCACATTGCACTAAGACAAACGAATAGGGAGGAAGGTTACTCTATGAGGAACAATAGTTGTTTGCTTGGTGCTCCGAGGCCTGGATAGCAGTCTTGTGGATTGTCTGGTTGCAGTAGAAGGGTTCTTAGGAAGTGGTGTTTGGTCTTTGACAGGATCTGCAATTGTCAGAATTAACAAGTGAGTGAAAGGAAAAATCAGGGAGTAAACTGTGGTAAACAATAAGGAGTGTTATTGTCATCTGTCAGTGGGACTGCACTCTTGGAAACGATTGGTATGACCAGATTGGTCACGGTCAATTGTTGCTTGAAGACGTCAGGTGTGCCTGGCATGATGATTAGGAATGTTTGTTGCCACCATAATCTAAAGTTGCAGTGCATATCGGTCTTGGAGTGAATGGAACAATGGTTGCATTTTGCATCAGCAGATTCATGAGATTGACCAGGCTGGCGACTGCAGGTGGAGTAATGTGAAACCTGCCAATTCTCCAGTTGTTCCAGCAGTTGAATTCAAAGTTGGGAACAATTTGTATCAGGCCAAACTGTCGAGCTACCATGTTGGCCGGGTAGAATTCGGCAAAAGTCTCCATGGTTCTCTTTTTACCGGCAGCTTCTTGTGGTCGGAAACCAAAGTACAGATCACAGGTGGCCAGGAAATACCTCCAGATTGCCCTCATGCCAGTGGTGCCAGACTCATCCCAGTGACCAAATCGGGTTTCAGCCTCAAAGATTAACCCAAAACATGGGTGGTAACAATCAGTATCAAAACCGATAAACAATAGAAATGTCAGGCTCAACCTCTAGGAAGATGCCCACAACATCATTAGTGGACATTTTGTTTTCCTCAAAAGAGGTGATGTTTTTACATAAGGGTTGGTCACAACTCGCTATTTCTGAGTAGCCGGATCTAAAGGCTGGGAAATGCATCTCAAGCCACAGAACTAATAACCATAAAGGACCAGTTAAAGTACGCTCAAGATGCTGCCTAAGTTCAAACACGCTTCTATTAAAACTACTCAACAAAGCTGATGCAAGATCTACTTGTTTACCGGTAGTAAGTACACAAGTCAGGTGATAGAAATTCATAGTCATCTACAAGGATTTAGAACAGAACACATACCGATTGAGCCAAAAGGCTAAGAAAGTCCTGTGTAGGGTAGCTGAATCAGTATCTTTGGCTGAATCCATTATCCTGCCAAATTGGTTCTCCTAATTGGATGCTAGATCAACTACATCCGGGTGCTCCAAATTGACGTCAACTGCCATAGGAACCGCCGGTGGGAGTCCAGTAATGATGCAGACATCGAGGAGAATAGGTGTCAACATTCCCTAGGGGAGGCAGAGAACGTTAGAGGTGGTTGACCAAAAGCGGGCGGCAGTGCTAAACACAGCCAAATCAAAAGGAACCTCGATTTTACAGAACTGGATCAGGTCATAGATTCCGGTATCACGCCATACTTGCCCGAACTCCGGCTCCAAATAATCACACCAATTAACCCAGCCATGATGGATTTTGATTTTCGGGGACCAAGGCCAACTGCTGTGGCTCTGAACGCTCTGACAGTTGCCGGGATTGACAAAGTGGTGATGACGACTTGGGGGATGACATACTAGAAGAGCGTTGGTGGAGCAGCATCAAAACCCGGCCCTAAACTGTAGGACCAAATTTCTTCATCAACCGGAACTATGGTATCCGAGAAATTAGGCACTGGTTATGGGGCCTCAGCTTCATGAATAGACCGTTTCTTGGCGAGCACAACGGAGTAATCTCTTGCAGCGGCCATAGAAGCGATGAACAGAAGGTCACCGGAGAAGGGGGCAGAAAGTTTGAGAACGCAAAGAAGGAAAAGGAGATAGGGAGAATTGATGAGAATGATGGTGTTTTGAGAAAAGGGGGAACAACATATTAATAGCACCTCGGGGAACACATCAATAGACTGATATTTCCAAATCAATAGGGGATTTGGATGACATTGGAATCCCACTTCTCTGGGGATTGAGATATTAGTTATTAACAGAAGACATGTATTTCAATAAGGGAAGGATTCTATATTTGAATTTTGCCGGGGAAGGTTGGAAAACTTGTTCAGTACATTTCACAATTTTTCTCCCGGGGCATTATGTTGGGCCTGTTTTTTCAGATTGGGCTTTGGAAGATTTGGAGAGAAAGTGGGGTGGATTAGATGAAGCAGAAGGTCGCAAATCAGGCTTCTAGAAGGCCCAAAGCCCGGTTTGGAAGGAGGAAACCTAGTTGTTATTGGGTTAAAATTGTGAACCGACAAGGATTATAAGCACTATTTAAAAGAATCGACGGTAGGAGGAAGGACTCAATCAAATCAGCATCAAATTGCTTCTTTAAATTTTAAGTCTTTTATTTTCGATTTTATCTCTAAAATTAGAGTTCTTCAAGAACTTTCTAGACTAGGCCAATTATCGGCGGCTGTACTTGATCTTTCAAGAATTTAATAAAGTCTGGCCTAAGATCGATTCTTATTATTCCGAAGTTCTTACTTTCAGTTTGTTTAGCACAAGTTATAGAGAATAATGCACAATCGTTTGATAGATATATTGCGTGATTTTCATAAGACGAAAATTGCGGAAACAGTATGGATAAAAGATTTACAATTAAAAAAATAATAAATGTATATGTATGTTTGCATGGACTACACAGTCTACACTGCAATGTTGTTTGTCGGACAAATGAAATAACGTGGTCCATATATTAACATTGTACCTTTTTATAAAAAACAAAATTTGATTCATGATAACTTGGATTAATCGGGGATCCTAATCATGGTGTATAAATATGAAGCGACGATGACGACGAATCAAGCCACTGTGGACGCACGCTTTATATATTAGTATAGGATAGATATAGATTAACCCCAAAGTCGGGGATAAAATGTAGTTCACCCTTCATATTTATTAAAATATGATGAGTCTCAATCGCACATTATGCATTCTTCCATGCTGGTATCTACTCTAAAAAAATAATAATAAATAAATAAATAAAGTAAAATGAACCGGCTGCGACATTTGCTTATTTGGTTTTTTTTTCCCCCTTTTTTTTTTAAAACTCTTGTTTGGTTATGTCATTCTTGGACTATCACAAATAAAATCAAAATGGTTTAGGAGGGATGATGATATCTTGTTCTAATAGTACAATACGAAGATTAATCTGATAATGACTGTCAAGAAAATTGAACGGAAAAATTTTGAGATATCCATGAGTCAGTAGGAAACGAAAAGGGTTTGCGCAACCAAAACAACTTTTCCCCTATATGCCGGATGCTCATCTAACAATTGTCCCATTGCCATAAATTTCAAGCTAATACCTTTAAACATGTCCATGTCATCAACTCCCAACATCAAACTTTTCCTTTCATACTTCTGTTTCAAGCGTTTCACCAAAAATTACAAATAAAAATATAGAGAATCATTTTAGCCAAATATTATTGTTGAGGACTAAAATGTGCATTTGACCTAATGTAAAGAACTATTTTCAGAATTTAGTCTATCTAAAAAATCCAACAAGTAGGAAGTAGAAACCCACTGCCGCAGAGAACTAAAACCTTACACTACGTGATTGCTTATAAAGATTTCAATAGTCATATAAGTATAACAACATTTTCTCACGATCTTTTGCATTCCACATAAAACAAAATTTATATCAAGCTAAAATTACAGTTTGATTAATTAAGTACACTAACGTTTTCAACTTACTCATAGAGAACTTATATGCAAGCTAATCTACTCTCCGTTCGGGAAAAGGAAAAAGTGATGTGGTGTTTTGATAATCTAAAGCATATGAAGGGGAAAAACTAACAAAATTTCGGTACATAAAACCGATTCAAACAGAGCTATTTAAGCTTTTTAGGCTCATAAGTGTAACAAATATTCTTATCCAAGCGGGAAACATAAAACCAATTCAAATATATGAATCACAATTGGAAATTTCCGAAAAATTTTACACCAAAACCATCCCAAACCGAACATATAGACAAAAAAGAGTGTGCTTTGGTTAATAACACAGACAAGTATGGTACGTAAGGGTCTTATATAGAAAAATGTTCCAACGAAGAAATCATCTTTGCTCCCTCCCGTCCCATTTATAAGTCACAATTTAAAATTACCATATGGAGTACCTTATAGTTAGGAGTTAGGACTATATCATTAATTGTTAAATGTCTTCTCGAATATTTTCGATTTGGAACTAGCTACTTTATCCCCATCGACTTCATCTCTTCTCGAATACTAGAAAATGTTAAATGTCTGATTGAGCTTTTTCCATTCTTTACTAAAAATAATACAAGTAGTGTAGATAACATTGGGAGTGATTCCTGCTTCTATAATTTCCTTGTTAAGCTTTAGAGCTTCATCGGCATTACCGCCTTTGAACTGCCAGTTCATTACTGCCAGTTCATTAAAAATGCATAAACAAAAATATCAGGACTCAAACCTTTTATGACCATTTCATCGAACAACTCTATGGTAGCAACAATTTTATGGTCCCGGCATGGATTTTGTCAAAATCTTCAACTTTCCATTATGGTTTCAGAGATTTCTGGATGAAGGAGAGGAAGAGCAACAGTAAATGAAGCAGATGAATCAGGCGCCAATTTCACCATTTAAATTAATTGTTCAATTTTGATGGCATCTTAAATTAATTGTTCAATTTCATGTGTAGAAAGAATTTTACCTTTTATTTTGCTGAAGGAACAGTAC